TCTCTATAACCTTCCCCACAAAGTTCTTCAAAACAGCTGGGTCCAGGGAAGGCTTCTTGAGGAGGGGCCTCACCACTGCTTCCTTCAAAGATTGCGAGAAAGACCCCTCCATCAAAGAGGCGTTGATTATCGCTTGGAGCCAGCCTCGTGTCACCTCCCTACTGGCAGAAACCATCCAGGAGGGGCACGGGTCCAATAAACAGGTGGCGGCATTCATCGCCCTCACGGCCTTGTCCACTTCATCAGGGGTCACAGGCTCAAACTCGCTGCAGATAACATGACTAAGACCAGCCCCCGGCATCTCGGCTGGCACTGCCCAGTCAGAGTCCAGGTCCCTCTGAATCTGAGCGATTTTGTCCGAAAGAAACTGAACGAACTCCTCATCTCTCCTCTGCAAGGGTTCCTCCACCTCCTCCACTTTAAGAAGGGATCGGGTCACCCTAAACAGGGCGGCCGGGTGAGATTCTGCGGACGCAATAAGTGCGGAAAAGTGAACACGCTTTGACCCCTTATCGCCACTAAATAAGTCCTAAGATAAGCTCTTAATAGTGATCGGTCAGATTCAGAGTTACTGGCCCTCCAACGTCACTCTAGACGTCTCTTATGGCATTTCATCTCCCGAAGCTCCTCAGCAAACCAAGGTGCCCTCCGGGGACCACTACCACAGAGAGGTCGCAAAGGCACAATTCGATCCAGGGCCCCGGACACCGCCTCATTCCAGGCCGCAACCAGGGACCCGGACGAGTTGTGGACAAGGGAGTCAGGTATTTCTCCAAGCTCCTCCTGGAACCGATCTGGGTCCATTAGGCGCCTGGGGCGGAACCATCTAGTTGGCTCCACCTCCCTGCGGTGGGGGAGTGACGCTCTGAAGTCCAGCCTCAATAGGAAATGATCTGTCCATGACAAGGGAGAGATCTCTATTCCCCTTAGTTCCAGATCATGTCTCCACTGCCCCGAGAGAAACACAAGATCGAGCGTGTGACCACCCCTATGAGTCAGATCCTGGATTACCTGGGTCAGGTCCATGGTTGCCATGGAAGCCATGAACTCTTGTGCCGCCTCTGAGCGTTCGCCGAGTGATGGCAGGTTAAAGTCCCCCAGTACCATAAGTCTGGGGAACTCCACCGCCAACCCGGCTACTGACTCCAGCAGCGCAGGCAGGGCTGTTGCAACGCAGCTGGGAGGTAGATACGTCAGCAACAAGCCCAACTGAACCCATGAACCCAACTTCAATAGGAGGGACTCACACCCAACAATCTCCGGGGCAGGGATCCCACGAGGACTCAGGGACCTCCGAGCGATGACTGCCACTCCCCCACCCCTGCCCTGATGTCGAGGCTGATGAAGCACCACAAAGCCATCCGGGCACATCTCCGAGAGGGGAACACCCCCCTCAGGGCCCAGCCAGGTTTTGGTTATACATGCCAGGTCCCCTGTCCAATATTAGATCACTGACAAGGGGGGCTTTGTTGACAATGGACCTGGCATTAAGCAACAGCAGCCTACAACTAGGGCCCTGTACTCCCTTGTCACCAGTACTACAGGATGGGCCTTTTGAGGGGCCGGAATAAGGAATCGCTCTAATATAGCGAGTCCTCGTTCCCCGAAAATGGCCTGCCCCTCGGCTATATACTCTGTTATCTACAGTATTCAACCAACAGGCTGAATACACATTTAGGGAAGATTTGAAGATCAACATCGCTTTAAAATTTTGGGAAGAAACATCAATGCTCTATGCTTTGCTGATGACATTCCTCTGATAGCTAAAAATGCAAATAATTGTCTTTGTTGCTCTCCTCTGCACTCTTTCCAGAGTTTCAACCTCTTTTTTTATATTGTGGTGACCAAAATTTGGATGCAGTATTCCAAGTGTGGCCATACTAAGACTTTGTAAATATATGATCCATCAGAACTTCTGGGAGGAGTATTGGCAAGTGGCGGTGGCATTGGCACTGATGATCACTGACTTCAAAATAACAAATACAACTTGGTAATCAAAGCCCTGCTTCTTTTTAATGTGTCACATGCATTGCCTGCGTGTCAAAGGGGTATGGCTTCTATTGTCTGGGCAACATGGTGACTCAGCGATTAAGATGCTGGGCTTGTTGGCTGGAAAGCCAGCAGCCCAGGTTCGAGACCAAACACCATGTGCCTGCCTCCTGCCAACCTAGCAGTTTGAAAGCATACAAATGCAAGTAGATAAATAGGTACCACTTCGGTGGGAAGGTAACAGTGCTCCGCGACATCATGCTGGCCACAGGATGGTGGAAATGTTTTCAGACAGTGCTGAATGAATGACCTTAAAACAGAGATGAGCACAGCCCCCTATAGTCAGCAACGACTAATGGAGTAAAATCCACAGGGATTCCTTTGCTTTCTATTGTCTGTTAATAACCACCATTTTGAAGCCAATGACTATTGCTGCAGATTCCCCTAGTTGTGTTTATATGGAACTTAAATGTTCCATAGTAACAGCTGGAAAACAGCTGGAACTGAAACAAGCTTCTTGATCTGTAGTATATTGTCCTGGCAAGAACAGAAGCAGTGAATACAAGGCCAGACTGAACTCTTGTGTGAACATAAAACAGATGTCTACAAGTTGCAAAGATGACAGCCAAGATCTCAAAACCAAAGATCCTCTGAAAAAATAGGTAGAAAACTCTTAGCACTTAAACCCTGGGATGGACAGACATTTGGAATTTTGATCTTGTGCTCTTCATTAGGTTTATGTTTTGTACATTATATGAATTATTTCTTTGACTGCAATAAAGCAATTTATCAAAGTCTATGAGGCCTCTGTTGTTACAACATGCAGGAATGAGTTTTTGGAAACTTATTTATTACCAGGTCTGACAAAATTAATTGAGATAATGGTCTATTATAATGAATGTTTCTTATTACACACAAATTGTTCAAGAGGATATTTTTTTTAAAAAAATCAGTACTAAAATTCTGATAAAATAAATAATAAAGATTACAGTACTTTTTTGCAAACAGCTGCAAAAAATTGCCCAAAGGAAAGCAACAGGAAAACATGCAAGAATAACAATAGATTAAAAGCAGTAGTAAACAATGCTGTTTATACTTTACTGGTTTTCACACCCATTGTATTGCTCTCCCACTTAATCAGTTCCAGACAGGGGCAACAGGGATGGAAATGATGACTGCCATTTTATTGTCTAGTGTACTAAGACTTCATGGCTTGGAAGAATATTATTTAAAAATAAATCAGTCATGCAGCACCAGAATGCTTAAAATAACTGAAATAAAACATTCCATTTTGTCCCCAAGTTAGTACAAAAGTCTGGAACATGGGATGCTTTGTTCTGAACTCAAAAATATGAAATCTGTAATTTCTAATTTACATCCAAAACTTATTCATGCTTAAATGTCTAACAGTTCATTTCTCTATGTGTGCAGCTTTTAGTAATCTGGAATGTTCTTTGCCATCCTGACCTGATCTGAGCAGAATGAGAGCAAGTTTTACATATTTCCAACATTGTTAACAGAAGCATTTTTTAAAAAAATCACTAAATGCTTTTTTACTTCAATATTTTCTTACTATTTTATTAATTTTTTTTACTATTCATTTTTTAATCTTTATAGTGTAAAAAAATCTAAGTTGTTAAAAAAATAAGTTTACTTCTATTAACTGCATAGTGCAGCTACTGGATTTGAGGTGAAACTGCACTTTTGAACTTGTACTCCCTACGAACATGAACTACTTGGTAACTCTAAGATGTGCTAAAATTTAAAATGTGCTACAGTAGTTGCCATTTTAAGCATCTTCCGTTTTGTAAAAGGTGAACCCTATAAAACCAAATTAAAATATTTATATACTTTCATAAGAGGTCTCAAAGATATGCATTGTATATATAAATAATAAAAGTACATTCATCATCCTTTTTTTTAAAAAAATGGAATCGTTCCATGGCCCCATCAAACCATATTAAATAGGATGGTCAGATCCGGGCGACCACTAGGTGACCCAAAGGCATGCAGCCATCTAGTGGCCATCCGGATTTTGGTAGCTCTCGTGTATGCAAAGCAATAGCAGGTCCCTACTAAAACCTAAGGCGAGAGGAGAAAGTAAGACGAAGAGGAAGGTAGAAGGACAACTGATGACCTTATTGAGGTTTTACCCGCCTAGCTTAAGGAACCACGCGCATCCCCCCCGCTAGAACTAGCAACCTGTCGTCCGCCTTCGCTATACGTGACGTCAAACAGTGCGATTAAAAAAAAAAAAAAAAACCTCTGAATTGCGGCAGTTGCGTAATGAGAGCTCCCTTGTCTCACTCTAGCTCGGGAAGCCTCCGCGCTTCCCTGGCAAAATACGGAGTTTTCGTAACCGGGGGCGACTCTTTCTCCCACACACCCGGCCCTTCTAGTCGGCAATCTTGCCTTCAGATCAACATGGCGGGCTCCGTTTTCGAAGCGCAGTGAAACGGGAAAGTGTGGGGAAGTGCGGACGAAGGAGGTCTGCCCGAGTCGCGGGCGAGGCAGGCGAGAGGAACCGCCGCAGTCTGGCTGTTCAACTGGCGGGACCTTCCTCACCACCGGTGGGGAAGCAATGAGGGAAGGCGGCAGGCGCTCGCCGGGGCTGCCGCTGCCACGTCTCGCCTCTCCCTTCGCTCTTTGGACCAGCGCGGGGCTGCTTGGACCCGCGCGCTAAAACCCCCGCCGCGGCCGTCTCCGCTCCGGGCAGGGAGCGCCTAGTCAGGCCCTCTTTAGACCGCGGAGGAGCGAGCGAGGAGCTGCGGGCATCTCCGCGGCGTAGTCCTGGGGCGGTTGGGACGGAGCACCGTCGCTCTGCTCGGGCACTTTTGGCGGGACGGGGAAGAAGCGGCACGCGCAGATCGAAGTTCTCTCTCTCTCTCTCTCTCTCTCTCTCTCTCTTTGGCGGGGGGGGGGGAATAGAAGGAAAAGATAAGGGAGGGGCCGAGGCGTTAAAGCCCCGCTCCAGTGGCCGCCTCCGGACTAGTGAGGAGGTTGCCTGAGGTAACGGCGGGCGAGGGAGGCGGAGGCGAGCTGGGCAGAGCGGAGCCGAGCAAGGAGAGGATGGCAGGCAGCCCCAGAGGCGGCTGACGGGAAGGGAGAAGGGAGACCCAGAGAGGAAGAAAGAAACGAGGAGCGGAGGGAACCATGGCGCTGCCCAAGCCGCCGCCTTCCGCCGCAGCTGCCGCCTCGGATCTCCTGCCTGCGGTCGGCGACAAACGCCTCATGCTGGGTTGCGACGTAAAAGAGGAAAGCGCGAATCCCCCGTCGACGGAGGCGATGGGCTCCCAGCCGCCGGAAGAGGGGATGGCAGCTGAGAAGGAGGAGGAGGAGGAGGAAGAAGAAGGGAAACTCGGAGTGGGAGAAGGCGAGGAACTGGCTCCTCACCTGCCTGAATCGAGGTCGGCTTCTGGGGTAAGGATCGGCCCCTGCTTGCCTGCTCCAGGAAGGGACCTTTAATAGGAGATGCCGCCTTGTCCCAAGGGGACTGCATGCAGAGATACATTATTTGATGGGGGGGGGGTTGCCCTGTTTAAGGGCAGTTGGAGTTTTCCGGATTGAAGCTAAAACCATGTTTATTAAACCTTACCATGGATCGAGTATTTATTCACCCATAAAGTGGCTATAATATAAGGAGGGGAATGGGTTCTTTTCCGACAAATGGATAGGGCCAAGTTGGGTCTTCTGCTTGGCAGAGAGTTCAGTCCTTAGATTTGGATCTGCTGGTCTGGCCTTAGTTTTCCAGTTCCTTCAGCTGTCATTTGAAAATAAGTATCCAATCTAAGCAGAAAGGGCAAATCAACTCAAGGTGGGTTTTTTTTTTAAAGTTTGTGGATTAGGCTAAGTTGAGTACCTCTTTGTGATATTTATGTGGATTTTTCTTATTATTTTTTCTCCCATGAATAAATATCAAGGAAAGGTAATTTAGAAGGGTTGGAGCAGGAAGTAAGTTGAAGGAACAACTTCAAAAACCTAGTTGTTAAAACTGCTAAACAAGTGTTGGATATTAAATTTAACAGGCACCCGGTTTATTCCTTATGCAGAGCACACAATGATTCCCATCATTTCTCCAGCAAACAAATGTAGCCTGATTCCACAAGTTTATCTAAATTCATTTATAATACCAAACTTAGAGGACTGCTATAAAACAAATGTTTGCATAAATAACTTATAATTTATGTCTTCTTTTGCAATCTGGTGTCTTCCAGATTTGTGAGTTGAGTACTATCATCTGCCAGTCACCATGGAGAGTACCAGGCTAGTGATAGCTCCCTAATATTATGGTGTTAAGGATTAGCTTATAATATTCACATTGCTTCCTTCAGAATTAATCTAGCCCATTAACAAATCAGTGTCCTTTCTGAACTTGCTTTTTGTTGTTTTAATGCAGAGGGCAGGAGGTTATGCAAGAGTAAGAAACTATTTCTGGAACTACTGTGTGTTGCATCATGTATTAGTCTGATACCGGTAGTATATTTGTTTATGTCCCATGGGAAGATGCATGCCTGTCATGAAAACAGCAGGGGAATTACTGCTCTTAAAAAAAGTTAAACATAGGCTGTTATTTTCCACCATAGTCACTTGTTCTGATTTCTAGCCCCCCCTTCTCAATAAAGTCAGACAAAACAGTTCTAATAGCTGAAGGTATGAGGAATAACAGTACCAAAGTACTGTTACATTTGAAACTATAGAAAGCACTTGTGATTTTTTTTTGTGAATTACCAGGATAAAAGCAAAGAATACAAATCAGCAAATAATACAAATTTAAAAATACTTGCATTTTAAAAAATAATTTCTCCAACCAGTCTCTTGCCCAACTACCTCCTTTCTTACAAAGGCTGCCTAGTTACAGCTACAGCACAAATAGAAAATTGAAGGAATGCATTATTAATTCCTGCCTATTTCCCCTTCCATCTAATTTAGTCTGAGAAGAAACAGGAGGTTATCAAACTATCAGTGAGACAACTGCTCAGCAGTACCTCAATATAAGTGTCTGCTGCTCACTGAGGCTTGGATTTAGAAATGCATTTTTCCTGCTTACAGGATTCATAATGGTATTTTTGCTTGGAAAGTATCAACAAGCCACTGTAGTGTTGTTTTGAAAAGAAATAGAGCTCCGGGGTACTTTGTTTCATTTCCACAACTGCTGCTCTGACACCAAGCATCTGTGCTACCTTTCAAAAGCTATATTTCACCATAGCCAGAAAATGGTTAATAAAATTAAGAACTATAGTAAGAAATATTTACGAAAAGCAAGCCAGGCAGTTTTCTTATAACTGATGGATGTAGGGGCAAGTTGTATTTTGATACTTACGTTACAGAAGAAAGGTACTTGTTACACAAAACTTGTTACACAAAACTTGTTACTGTTTTTACAAGACTGCATAAGCATTTCCATAGTGGAAAAAATACACATACTATAGTGGAGAAAAGCATTTATCCTAAATCCAATGTTAAATGATTAAAAAAAAACATAATAATATGAAATGATCTGAAGTAGAGATCTTCATTAACAATGTCGTAGTCACTCACATTCAATTCATTGTGCTGAATATTACAGACATAACATAACGGGAAAAGCCTTCAATCATCAGTAGCTTAATATGGTGCTATATTGCTAAGAACAAGTGTCCTTATAACAGATGGAAAGTAGAAAGGCATTTTGAACATGGCAACAACTGCATGATGTATTTGCAAACTGTATTTGCCAGTTCTAATAGCACAGAAATAAAAGAAAAAAAACCCGTTATATCTTAATGGCTAAATTAGTTCATGTGAGGTTGAATATTTAAAACAACTATCTTCCTTTTTTCTGGATTTGTTTGTAAGCTTCTTTTTACTTTAAGCCTTTCTCCCAGAAAAATATTCAGTTTGCTGTCTGGAAAGGCAGCAGAGGAAGTGAATCACTAGTTATTCTTTCATCAAATACTGAACATCCTCAGATGAACTAATATTTCTAACACTGAACCAATTATACTGTGTTCAGAAAATTCTTAAATTTAAAAGTATAGACAAAAGTATAGATTTTCTGATTTCTGTCTTTTTCTTTTCTTATTTTATATTATTTTTATTAAGCTTACATTCCTTGTTAAACCTTTTAATAACATTAAAATATAATTCATGTTGAGATAATACCGTTGACTTATAACTAACTCATTGACAAAGTTAGATGCACCATTCCAAATTTCAGTATCCAAATCAAATATCAGAAACCAATATAAACCAATAAACCTAAAATACATGTAAAAAAGAACATTCTTTGAATGTGGTCAATCTAAAATTCTAAGGGCCAGCTTTGAAAAGACATGAAATCCAGTTCATGTGAGACATTTGTTACACTACATTATGTATTTTTCCATATTCTTTTGGTAGTCACTATTGATATAGCTGAAACAGATGCAGAATTACATATGTGGTATTTCATTTACAGTTCTTGCTTCAATATCATGGGATTTCAACAATTTCAGATAGATGCGTATCACCATACAAGCACATTTGATTAGAACACTTTCTGGTTAGTAAACTATAGGCCAGATCTAAGAGACTGGAATGGGCGGTTTATAAGCAGTGGTTCTCAACCTGTGGGTCGGGACCCCATTTGGGGTCAAACGACCATTTCACGGGGGTCGCCAAACAACGCAGTCCGCCCATTTTTTCCCCCTTTTCCTTAGCTATGCTACTCCCTTTTATTCTATTAGCTTTTGAAAGCCAATAGAATAGACTCTCTTGAATAGAGTCTAATTCTATTGGTTTTCAAAAGCTAATAGGAATTGTCCAGGCTGTCTCTGCCCTGCTGAGCCCACCAAAAGTCCCATTCTGCAAACGGTGCTGCACCAGTTGAGTAGTCCTTGACTTACGACCGGTTGAGTAGTCCTCGACTTACAACCGGTTGGGGGTCGCGGCATTAAAAAGGTTGAGAACTCCTTCAGGGAGTTTAGAGGCATCCAGTATGAAAAATGGGTGAAAGAAAGGGGTCCCATCAAAGCTGATAGAAAAGTTTCCTTTTCACTACAGCAGGGAAATGACTTTTGATAGGAATGCAATTAATAGTTTTGACAGGGTTGTTCTATTTACAAAGTATGCCAAAATGCACCTAGTAGAGGTGATGGTAGGAATAAGGCCAGACTGATCAGAATAATAGATATTACCATGGCAATGATAATGGTAATAATGATAATGCATCATCTTCAAACCTATCCTGACATTTTTGAACATATGAAAGATTCCAGATTAACCTTCCCTCCAATAGTAAAAAAAGAAAGAGAGGGATTAATTTCCTCTGTGAGCCTATTCCCTGCCTTATTTAGAAAATAGTCTTTTATCAATATCAACACAGAAACTAATAGTGTATTTGATAACAACCATTTGTTTAATGTTGGTTCAAAGTTATGATGGCATTGAAAATAATAACTTAAGATCTGTCCTCAAATTTATGACTTGCACCACCTCCAGAGCCACATAATTACAATTTGGGCTCTCATTTACATCAGTTCTCACACCGTGGTCATGTGATTGCAATTCTTGATTTTCCCAGCTGACTTCTAACAAGTAAAGTCAGTGGGGGAAGCTGGATTCACTTAATGACCACAATAAAAATTGTTGTAAAATCAGGTATGGTTGTATGATAACTTGCTTAACAATTGCTTAGTGATCAAAGATTCGGTTCCAGCTGTGGTTGTAAGTCAAGGACTACCTGTATTGGGCAGACATCTTATTTAAATGCCATCAGTTTGATTTATTGCATATTTCATTTGTTATACTGCTTTTCATTTTGCAAATCATATATCAAATACATAAAACTGAAGTCAATATTGACTTCTTTAGTAAATGCTCAGAAATTTATTTATAACATGAGATATGACAATCTATTTTAATAGAGGTGCATTGAAATACTCATCCATACTAAATTTATTTTCTTGAATGGTTTGGATCGAATTATCAAAAGCAGAAATTATAAAAATGTGTAAAAATTACAACTATGTTAAATAAATGCTTCAGCATATCCTGGGAGAGGAACAGATGGAGATTCAAGAACACAATGATATTTTGGTAACAAGCGTCAGTGCTTATAAAACATATTAAACAAATATAGAAAAAGGAAGTATTGCATCTCCTTTATTTCAAATAATTTTTAAAAATTCTAAAAATGGAAAAATATTCACTCTGCTACCTTGGCATTCTGCAAGTGGGCGTCCTAACTCAAACTGAAATATAATACATGTCCTCAATGTCCATTATGGTCGTAAGTCATCACAGACATAAAGGGGATCAGCCCGAGACTGATCCGATTTTACAACCTTTTTGTAAAATCATTAAATGTCATTAAATGAGCACCATGGTCATAAAAATGACCTTCTGGTGATAGAGCAAATTTTGTAGTCATAAAGCAAGTCCATTGTTCACTAGGAGTCATT